TCAGAGTCATCCTCTGGCAAGGGAGCCCTGGAACCAGCTGCCAGGAAAAAGAATGAAGGTGAGTCAAAGAGGTGCACACACCCTACAATGACCCCAAGGACCCAAGTCCTGCAGAGGGCTGGTAAGTGTGGGCAGGCCCTGTGACCTGCTGCTCCCAAGAGAGGATGACAGAGGTGATTGCATGTCCTCCTGTCATTGTAGACTGGAGAGTGAGAGAGCCCCTTGCTGACCTTGACCCCAACATGCTGCAGAGGGGCAGGTGGGAGGCAGGAGCCACAGGGTGGAAGCAGGGCAGCATGAGGGGGCAGGGACAGGAAATGTCTGACAAGAGCTTCTGATGAGAAGGAAGTGCAGGGCATAAGGGGGAATGCAGCAGAGGACTCAGCAAGGCCCTGCCTGGACTTCCAACCCACACAGAAATGGCTGAAAAGCCACCAAGTCCACGGTAATATGTTACACAGATAGGATGGATGGGGGCACGGGGCAGGACAGGTGGTGGAGAGGGAAATGAACCAGGGACAGAGGAGGGCCTGACATTGTGTCTGTCTCTTTCGCCCAACTACAGTGATGCTGCTGACCATGACCTGCTTAAAGCCAAGAGTGCCCGAACAACAGGATGGCAACTGCAAGTACAGGCTGCACTCGGCCAGGCCTGGAATGGCTCAGGCGAGGGGCTGCATCGCAACAGACTCTAAAAAAAAAAAAATAAAAAGATTCAAGAGCTGGAGGAAGCTGGATTACGGGCGGAGTGATTGAGCTGGACTCAAGGTGGCCCATCGGCCCCACTTCCAACCCTCTGACCTCCAGAGAGGGGTGCCAGCTGTTGGCTCAGATCGATGCCTCGACTGTCCAGCAAGAGGCCCTGGCATTGCGTAGTGTGGTGCGCCAACTGTGCCTGATCAGTGATTAAACTAGCACCGCTGAGCTCACCCAGGGCCCGCAACAGCATAAGTGTCACCAAGAGTCACCAACACACAAGGGGCTGCAAGGGCTTCAGACAGAAACTTGAGCTAGGTCTGTGTTGCACCTGAAAACACTAAAAGTTTGATTTCCAGTGTAGGCATGGTGTGCTGCAAGGTGGGGTCCTCTGGAAGGGAGTTGGGTCGGGGATAGACTGAGGCTTTCTTCAGGGGACTGGTTTAGTCCTCATGGGCTCCAGTTGTTGAAAGCTGGTCTGGCCTCTCTCCTGCCCTCTACTTTCATACACGCACCTGCCATGTGATGCCAGCCACCACGGCCCTCACTGGAGCCCTGGAGAAGCTGGTGCCATGCTCTCGAGTTTCCTGAAAAGCAGCTTGGAAATGGACTACAATGGTCTTGAAAACAGGCACGATGTAAATGAAGCCAAGTGAAGAGGGCCTCTGTGACTGGGTCAATGGGAGCCACTGACCCCAAAGGTATGGAGACAGGAGAGCACGAGGTGTGCTTGGGGACAGCTAGTGACCGGCCTACTCCTGTAGCTTGGCTCAGGGAAGGGGCAGTAGGCAATCATTGCCCCTACAGGGCACTGGAACTGGAAGCAAAGGAGCTCGGCTGTTGTTTTCCCACTCCTTGTAGCAATTATGTGCTGGGACACCCAACTCCTGGGGGCACTGCTGGGCGCCCTTGGGGATGGAGGGGCAGCAGCCCCGCATGACAAGCAAAAGGTCTAACCCCTGGGCCATGGAGCTTTTAAACCAGGGCCCTGCTTGGGCTGGGGGATGGGGGTGGGGAGGGCTCTGATTCAGCAAGTGCAAGGACACAAAGTAGCAATGCTGACTTTGCTCTGCCCTGAGCAACAGCCCCAGCCTGGGCTACCCGGCAGATGGCAGACAGGGCTGGGGCTGAGAGGAGGAGGTCAGGCTCAGACCCAGTGCAGGTTTCACATTCCCCCATTGGAAGTTTTTGTTTGTTTTTGTTTTTGCAAAGTGAGATTTATTTAAGAAGAAAGGAAAGTGTCTCCTGCCCTAGCAGCTGGAGTGCTCTCCAAGGAAGGGAAAAACCCCAGATCTCCTGTTATAGTGGCAGGAGGGAGATCCAAGGAAGGAAGGAAGGAAGGAAAGAAAGAAAGAAAGAAAGAAAGAAAGAAAGAAAGAAAGAAAGAAAGAAAGAAAGAAAGAAAGAAAGAAAAGGTAGAAAAGGTGTCTTTTATGCTGTGTCTCAGGGGAGTTGCCCAAAGCACTTCTGCTTTCATGGCACATCACTCTGCACTGACCCCAACTGTACACTAAACACACTGCCTGCTCTCACACCAGCTTATCTCAAGTTCATACCATAGCATGTTCCAGAAAGAGAAGTCACTTGTTCAGTGGAGAAACCAGGAGTTTGGGAGCTGGGATTCAAGGGACTCACAGGAGCCCAGGGTGGCTGTCCTGCCTCTGGTCCCCTGGCCATGCGTGATGAGGACGCCTGGCTTCTGAACAGTTTTTCTGTGAATTCGGTGACTTAATTAAGGTCGTGCAGCTGTTACAGGGCAGGACTGGGCCAGGCCGGGCCGGGTACTGAGCTCTGTGTGACTGCAGGGCCCATGCAGGGGTCTGTGCCTTCAAGGAAACCCCAAGTCCAACAGCAAGGATGGCAGGGGTGTGGGGAAGGGTCACAGAGCTGCCTCCTTCATCAGCATGCTCCTGTGGTTCTTGGGAGAATTGTCTGCTTGTGCTTAGCTCCCTACCGCCTGTGAGTGCCCCAAGGCTGCTCTTTGCTTCTCTGCAGAGCCCAGGACCCAGAATGCACGACACAGGGTTACTACATACATGCTTCGCTCATGATACTTGTGTGGACAAATATTACCGAATACGTACAGTGTGCCTGGCCCTTGGTCACAGGTTAACCATCCAGGACTGAATCTCAAGACATATTGTCCCCTCAACTATATAAGTAATATTAAAAAGAAAATTAGAAAAAAAATTTAAAAGACAATACTGTTGGGGCTGCTGTTGTGGCATAGCCGGTAAAGCTGTCACCTGTAACTCCAGCACCTTACATTGGTGCTGGTTTGTGTCTGAGCTACTCCACTTTTAATTTTTTTTTTTCTTAAGGCAAATTCACAAAGAGAAGGGAGCCAGGTGTTGGATGGGAAGTAGAGCAGCTGGGAACTGATGCCCATCTGGATCCCAGTGCTTGAAGGACAAGTAATCTGTCAATTAAGCCACTGTGCCAGGTTCAAGGGCTGTTCCACTTCTGATCCAGCTCCCTGCTGATGGCCTGGGAAGGCAGTAGGAGCTGGCTCAAGTGCTTGGGCTCCTGTACCTGCATGAGAAACCCAGCAGAAGCTCCTGTCTCCTGGCTATAGCCTAGTACAACCCTGGTTTTTGCAGCTATCTGGAGAGTGAAGCATCAGATGGAAGAGCTCCCTCTGTGTGTGTGTCTCTCTCTCTGTAACTGTGGCTTTCAAAATTAATAGTTTTTCTTAAAAAAAGGCTCTATGGAGCCTATAGCCCAGTGCACAATGAAAAGGGAATCAATGCACATTCTGGAATATCAGCATCTGATGGGAGAAGATGAGCAGTGCAAGGGCCTTGCTAGGGTGGTGCCATGGAGGCTGAGAGCTGGGGAAGAGGAAGAAGAGGGGAAAAAAAAGAGGAAGAAGAGGAGGGGCATGTTATTCCAGGTAGAAGGAACAGCATGTGTGGAGTTTCCAAGGTGGTCTAGGGTGGGTAGCACTAGAATGAGTGTGGTGTGAGCTGAGATGGGGACCAGGCAGGTGGAGAATTGGGGCCTTATTCGAATGCCACAGAAGCCATTGGAGGTTCAGGAAGAGGCCTCACCTACTTCACCTCATCTCTATCCAGGCTGTGGGGTGAGAGGGGGAGGGAGGGCCGGGGCTGATCAGTCATCAGTGATCAGTGAAAGAACAGCACAATGCCAGGGACCTGGGGCAGGCACGAAGCCAGGTTCTTGTTATGAGGCAGACTCTACTGGAGTCACTCCAGACTGGCCATGAGAATGAGGGAGACAGAGGAAGCCAGCAGCCTGGCCGAACAATAGGTCACACAGAACTGCCCCTTCCTATGTCAGGAAAGGGCAAGCCAAAAGCCAGAGAGGGCCATGGTTTGGCAGGCAATGTTTCCAAGTTGGTGGCATTAAACTTGCCATGCTGATGACCTATCTGAATGGGGACATCAACCAGGAGGTTGACATATCAGGGGTGGGGCTTGGAGGAGAGGCCTGGGGGTGAGATCTGCATTGGGTGCTGGGCACGGAGGTGGCTTAGGAAAGCCCTGAGACATTGCAACATTAGAGTGTAGGCAGAGACAGAGGGCAGACAGCAGACAAGAAGTCAGGAGAGTATTCCCACGGGGCGGGAGGGAGCCACTGGATGCAGAGAGCAGGGCGATCAGGAGAGCACGATCCTTGGACACTGCCATCTGGGGATCCCTGGTGACCTTGACAGATTCACAGACTCTGCATGATGCAGAAGATGCCCAGAGGGAGCTGGCATTGTAGTGCAGCAGGTTAAGCCCTGCCCCCGATGTTGGATTCCTAGCGCTATTCAAGGGCTTTCATGATGGCGCAAGAACTCACCCTTCAGGTTCGTCCACCCATGCCCTGCCATGATGCATTGCCCCCTTCCCACTTCACACACAGTCTTTATGACAACCTCTGAAGTGAGCACTGTGCTTTCCCTTCTTCAGATGAGGAGCATGAGGCTGAGAGAGGTTTGATAGCTGTTCTGGGTTGCACAGGGGTCCGGGAAACCTGGTGAAGGGTCTTCAGGGTCACCTTTCCCCTATTCTACTCCCCACAGCCCTGAGTGGTGTGGGAGTTATGTCACATCCTATGGCTCCCAATCACTTGTTCAGGCCACCAGAAACTACAGGATAAGACGAAAATAACCGAAGACCCAGAACATTGGGCTGCTGCCCAAGAGGTCCTGTGACCACAGCATGCCCAGGGCCTGCAGCTGCTACCCAGCCGCCCACAGTAGCAGCAACAGGAACAAGACAGGACCTGGCTTCCAGCACTACTCCTCACCCCCCACATCCCCAGTGCAGTCTACCCAGGAAACACCTGCCACTCACCTGGACACCACCAATGGCAATATCAGCATCTTCAACATCCTCATTAAGAGCTCCCCAGGAAACTGCAGGTAACTAATTTCCTGAAAAGGTAACAAGCGCTGAGGTTAGAGCAGGTAATATAGACTTCATGGCTGTAAAGTGGGCACGTGTGGGCAGCAGAGTCAGCAGAAAGAACTGGCTTTCAAACCAAATAGGCCTAGGTTCCGATTTTGGCTGCCTCTGCTCTTCCACCAGATGTGTAGCTTTTAGTACATGACTTAACCTCTCTGATATGTCCTCACCTGTGACATGGGGACAATGAACACACTCCCTGGAGTGGGGTGGTCAGCCATGGCTGTGACACCAGCATACCAAATTGGAGGGCTGGCTCTGGCCCTGACTGATCAACTTCTGCCCCAGGGACCTGCTGAGATACCTGGGAAATCCTGCAGAAGATGGCTCAAATGCCTGGACTCCTGCCATCCACATGGGAGACCCAGATAAAGATCCAAGTTTCAGTTTAGACCAGCCGCATTGATTGTAACCATCTGGGGAGTGAACAGGCAGATGGAAAATCTCTCTCTGTAACTCTGCCTTTCAAATAAGTAAGCTTTTTAAAATTTTTATTTAAAAGCATTCATTTGAAAGATAGAGGGATGCCCATACTACAGGTGCTGGCTTAGCTTGTGATGCCACAACACTGGCTCCATAAATAAGCCTTCAAAATCAAAATGAATATCTCCCATGGGGCATTGGGAGGCTTACGTAGGAGGAGGTCTGTAAGCACTTGGCATGGAGCCTGGATGAGAGTAAACAGGAAACCTGGGAGAGAATGGATCTTCCCCACACTTGCCCACACACCTGTACCTGTCCCTAGAGCAAAGCCCATCTCAGCTAGCAAGGGTGGGACATGAAAGGGCAGGGTTCACATGTATCCAACCCATGTTGTGGCAGGACTCTCACTGGGCATCCCAGAATAACTCAGGCATGACTCCTGCCCCAGAGAAGTGCCCAGTCTAGTATACAAGGAGAGTGACCCAGAGTTAGAGCAAGGGCTCTATGCGGCAGTTTCGCCATTGGTAAGGAGCCTGTGCTCATACGGGTCTCCTCTATAATGTGGAGAGGGAAGGAGGGGGGAAGAGAGAGCAGGAAGTGGTGGTGGGGGTGGGGAAGAGAGACAAGGAAGGAGGGGAGAGAAGGAATGGAAGGGAGGTGGGAGAAGAGAGGCATGGGGCTGTGAGATGGCACTCAGTGTTAACAGCTCTCTGCCTAGTGGCCCATGTGGGTCCCTTTGCTGCCTTTCAGGTATATTAGCAGGGAGCTGCACAGGAAGTGGAGCATGCATGACTCAAATCAGCACTGGATATGGGTTGCTGGCATCAGAAGTGGTGGCTTAGAAGGTTGACACCATTGAGTTGATCCTCTGCTGTTACACCAGCATTCCATGTCAGTACCAGTTTGTATCCTGGCTGCTTCTTTTCCAATCCAGCACCTTGCTTGTGTCCTGGGAAGGCAGTGGAAGGGTGCTCCACATCCTTGAGACACTGCACCCAGGCAGGAGACCTGAGGGAAGCTCTGGGTTTCTGCCTTCAGACAAGACTAACTCCAGTCATTACAGCCATTTGCAGAGTGAACCAACCAATGGTAGCTTTTTCTGTGTAATTCTGCTTTTAAATGAAAATAAATCCTATAAAAAGAAAAAAAGAAAAAAAAAAGAGGTAGTGGCTTAATTGACTGTGACACAAAACACCTTGGGCCAGAATTCTAATCTCAGTCTCTTCACAGGCTGTTGGCTCCAGCCTATTCATAGATCTTTCTGGCGCCAAATCTTTGCCCAATCTCCCCAGTAACAAGGCCACATGACTGGGGCACCTGGAGCCTCCAAGCCTAGCGAAATGTTACCTTGCAATGTCACAGGTGTCTCCTTCATGGAGCATTTGCTGTTACTGGAAGCCTGAGCTGCATACATGGTTTATGAATGGCAAGTTCAACTCCATTTTACTATTTCTGCCACTCTGACTTGGATCACTCAAAATCTGTGCATAGTTTTCTCATACTGCATGTTTTCCAGGAGCTTTGGGGAACCCATTTGGCTCATGTGTGTGGCAGCGGTGGGGGCTGGTGGTGGACTGGTGACCTGTCAGAGCAGGGCAGCCTGGCAATGACCTGGTTTTTCTCTGGGAGTGGGTGGACTGTTGGAAGCGGGTCTCCCGTACAGAGGACTTTACAGAACTTCCTCCCTCTGCAGTTATGGTGGGAGGCGTATCTTCCCATACCCAACTGGGGAACAAGGTTGTGCCTAGGCTCAGTTGGCAATCTCTCTCTCTCTGGATCCCAAAATCAAGTGTGGCTGAGTCCTGACCATGGGTCCCATGGATCCTACTGTTCTGATGACAAAATTCCCGCCCTGGGCCCTTCCTGCCTCACCCCTGCCTGGGGCAGCGCCTCCCCTTCCAGAGTTCACTGAAACAGACCACCTTGGCATTGATGCCTACAGATGAGACTTTTAACTTTCTGTGTTCTACTCAATGAGGTCATTCAACTCCATCCACTTCCTGAGCGACCGCATCTGTTGACGGCTCTCAGCTGTCTGCCCTTCTCTTCTTTTTGTTCCTAGTGGTAATTTTGTTACTGCTTTTCTGTTAAAGGATTTCTTTATTTTAAAGGGTGATGGAGACAGAGAACCTTCCATCCACTGTTTCATCCCATCCCACCCCCAATCTCCAACAAATGCCTGCTACAGCTGGGGTGGACCAGGCCAAATGTAGGAGCTAGGAACTCCATCCTCCATCCGAGTCCCCCGTGGGGGAGGCAGGAACTCAGGCACTTGAGCCATCTTCTGTTGCTTCCCAGACACGTTGGCAGTGAGCCGGGCTAGAAGCGCAGTAGCAGGAGCTTGAAATGATGCTCCGAGATGGGACTCTGGGATCCGGAATGATGGCCTAACCCACAGCACCCCAAGGCCCGCTGCTTGGTGATTTTTAATCTTTTGAAAAGTCTATGACCCTAATTTGAGTGGAATCCTAGGAAGTAAACATGGACGTGACTGTCCTTGCCACACTATCATTGGTAGTCTCAAAGTGATGGATCACTTTAAATGAAATACTGAGACTGTCCAAGGATAAAATCTTGTGTTTTTTTTCCCCTAAATTCTTTAAACAGTGGAATATTTTGCCACTTTCCAAGTTGTTTATAATTTTTGCCTTTTGCATAAGCTTACAAAATAGGAAGGCTTGATTTGAGTCACAGGCAGAGATCAAACAGAAGAAATTCTGGATTTCGATAGAAGATTCTGAGAAAGCCAATTCCTGCCAAATCATTGTTCCAAGGCTCCACATCCTCCCTTCAGTTTGTCTGGCAGATTCAGCCAGGCCAGAACATACTTGTGTTTCCAAACAGAGGGAGGAGGCAGCCTTGGCAAAGGAGGACCCCGATGAATTTGGCTTTGAATGATAGGCTTTGCAATTTGTTTTCACACAATCATTTTTCTGCAGAATATATATATTTTTGTTGTTGAGGAAAATTAAAGTGAGCAGGTTGCAGATCGTGCCATTGCCAGTTCAATTCAGCAAACACTTGAGGGTTCTCTCTGAGCCTACCATGAAATGAGGCTCATATGTTGATTTGAGAAAGCCTGCATGTTGACTGGCAATGTGCAGGCTGGTGAGAGAAAGAAAGCAACCTATGCAGATGGCTCTGCAAGCAGGCAGCCAGCAGTGGACAGACAAGGCAGGAGCTGGGAGGAAGGAACTCTTTCAGCTGTAAAGAGTTCTAGAAGACTGTCAAAAGCATGTGAAATTTAATTTTAGGGGCTGGCATTGTGGTGCAGCAGTTCGATCTACCACTTATAACACTGGTATCCTATATCAGAGGCCTGGGTCACTTAAAAAAAAAAGACTTACTGATTTATCCTTTTATTTGAAAGGCATATTTTACAGAGAAAGAAGGAGGGGACAGAAAGATCTCCCATCTGTTGGTTCTCTCCCCAAATGGCCACAATGGCCACAGCTGTGCTGATCCAAAGCTGGGAGCCAGGAACTTCTTCTGGGTCTCCCATGCAGGTGCAGAGTCCCAGGGTTTTGAATCTTTCTTCTCTGTTTTCCCAGGCCATAAGCAGGAAGCTCAGTGGGAAATCGAGCAGTTGGAACATGAACCTGTGTCCATATGGGATGCTGGTGTTAGCAGGTCAAGCTTAGCCTTCCATGCCACTGCACTCAGCTCCAAGGCTGCTCAGCTTCGGAGGCAGCTTCCTGCTAATGTGCCTGGGAAGCAGTGGAGGATGGCTTTAGGAACTTGTTTCCCTACAATCCAATGCAGGTGGAGTTCCAGTTCCTAGCTTGGGGTGTGGCCATTTGGGGAGTGAACCAGTAGGTATAAGAGCTTCCACACCCTGCCCCCCATCACTCTGCCTTTCAAAAGACAGAATAAACCTAAAACATGTGCAGGTTGTATTATTTGAAGGACAGAGAAGTCAGGGAGGGAGAAATTTCCTTTCTACTGGTCTATTTCCCAAATGCCTGTATCAGTCAGGGCCAGGCCAGCCAAAGTGGAAAGGCAAAAACTCAATCTGGGTGTCAACAAGCAGGTGGCTAAGATCCAACTAGCTGAAGCATCACCTGCAGCCTCAGTGAGGGGTACTCAACAGGAAGCCGTATCTCAAGTGGCATCTTAACCATTCTGCCAAATGCCTATCTTTAAAAGCTTCTATAAGCTGTCAGGCCTGAATGGCTCCCCATCTCAGAAGGACCTGACAGGTAAGGGGGAGAACCAAGTCACATTGCATAAGCACAATGCATCCTTCGTTTACTACACAAGGGTTCTAGCTGACCCCCACTGCTCTGCCTCCCATCCAGCCCACCTTACAGATGAGGCAGCTGAGACTTCGCCCAGACACTTACTAGTGAGGTCAGAGTTGAGGGTTCTGCTGCCTCTGGGGTCTGCACTTGTCCCTGAAATGCAGCTAGTGTCTTAACAGATTTTCTCCTGCCGTGCTTGGCTCAGACATTGGGTAAGGGATTATTTTCCTCTTCATGGAAGCCACTGTCTATGTCTAGAGTTCCAGGGACAGAGATGGCTTTGGGTGCTGTAGGAGGGAGGGTCCCCAGGGTGGGAGGCACCTGTCAGCTGGTCTTGAGCAGGCTACCCTGAGCCCTCTGTCCCCCTCGGCCTTGTCCTGTGTTCTGACTCAGGCTTGCTGAGAATTCCTTCCCCACGCCAAGCTCTCTCAGATCACCCCAGGTGCCTGTCCCTGCCCTGCCCCCACACTCCAGTGCCCAGCCCTGTACACTCAGGGTTCAGTCCTCTGCCTGCTCCGTGGGATAACTTGGTCCAAGTTCTGAGTCGAGTTCTCTTTGCCACTTTTGTGGGTGTCGGACTCTTTCCTTGGTTAACACCTGTGAGTGTCTCTCCCCTTCCTTGGGAAATGGAGTCCTGGAGGAGTCTTCCCTAGAGAGGGAGTTTTTACAGTGGCTTTTAGGGAAAACTGGGACCTGCCCGGCTCCAGCCCCCACACCAAGTACATTCCAAAGTTTCTTCCTTTCCACCCTGCTCTCACACCTGCCCCTCACCCTTCCCTTGCCTTGCCTCCACTTAACTCCCCACAGGTGGGGAGCGGACAAGGGGGAAATCTCTCCAGAGCTCAGAGCTGATCACATCACTGTTCCATTCCAAAGCTTCTCATCATGGCCCCAAGACTACGTTCAATGATGGGACTCATAGGGGTGCTGGTCCTTGTGCCTCAGCACCTGCTTCCCCCAGACATTCTGGCAGCCACAGATGGCTTGCTCCACACCCATACTCTTGCCCTGAATTTCCTCGGCCTACAACGCTGTTCCTGCTCTCTGGCTTGTGAGCTGCCTGGAGGAGGTGTTCCTCACGGCCTGCTTTGGGTGCCTCCAGGAACCTCCAGGAACTCTTCCACTACCACAGTTCCTATATCCACAGAATTGCCAATGTGGCCTCTTTGCCCAGTGGGCCATTTAATTGGCATCTCACGCAAGTCCTACCAGGCATCCATCACACCCACATCATAGTGAAAAAAAACTGGGACCCCCGAGGCAGAGGGACTCAACTTCTCTTATAACCCCTAAATGATGTCAGGCCCGTGCACCCCACACCCCTAGCTGGGAAGCTGAGATGCTACAGGTGGCTGACCTGGGGTGAGAGGCGCCGGGTCCGCAGGAAGAAGCCGAGGAGGCAGCCCACGATGACAGACAGCACTGACAGGATGAGCAGCCCATTGCGTCGGCACACATCCTTCCCTCGTGCCAAGATGGCCCCCAGCACCATGTTGAGCCCGGCCTGCTGGCCTGGAGCACAGCACCATTCCATGTACCTGAGGCTTCCCCAGGGACACAGGGTGTGGGCTGGACTGGGGGCTCCGGCTTCCCAGCAGGCGGGTGGTCAGAGTTGCTAAGCCCCAGTCGCCTGCCTGGAGACCATGGCCACGCCCCATAGAGCAGCCACAATCCTATTACTAGATGCATCATTAGGAGCTAGGAGCAGATTAGGGCCTGGGAAATTAGAGCAGACCACATGGTCTGGGGGGTTCAGCCCTCAAAGCCAAGTGCACCTCTAACACAGGGCAGCAGACCAGGTCCTGGTGTGAGGAACAAGCTTGGTTGGTTTGATTCTTTGTTATATTTCTTTTCAGGAAGCATTGAGAGTGAACCAGTGAAGTACCAGTGACCACCCATGCTGATGAAGCATTTATTATGCACCAGATGCTGTTCTTGCAGGTGCACATTGCTTGCACATAGTGATGCCAGCCCCACCAATCCAGTCCTGCTTATATCACTGCTTCGCAGAGGAGAATCTGAGGTGCTGTGTGCTGAATGGGTGCCATGTGCTGGGTGAGCTCCGATGGCTTTACTAGTCCTGTGTACTAACTGTGGGGACTCACCGTCCTTCTGGAGACCCTGCCATTACCACCTTTCGTACACGGAGATTGTCAAAATCCCCAGGGAGCCAGAGCCACAGTCACAGAGCCAGCGTGGAGCAGAGCGGGATTTGGTATTCACTCCATGGACAGGAAGGGTCTGAGTCCAGTGGGCCTGAAGCCTAACTTGGGCCAAATGGTTCACTGGGGAGTGAGCGTGAATGACGATTCTTTGCACTTTGAGTTTTCTCAGAGTTTTCAGGACCCGTGGTTTTTCATGAAAGATGGGACCGAGCAGCCAAGTCTTTGCTCCACTGCTCATCAGCTCTGAGCATCACCTGACAAGCCGTTTCACCCCACCTACCCTGGTTGCCCCACCTGTAAAACAGAGAAAATGAGAGCACCCACTTCATGAGGAGCTGTAAGGGCAGGGGTGAAGCTGGGCAGAGGGCTGCTAGGGTCATGCCACTCCAGGTCTGGGGAGTAAGGGGTTCTTCAGCCATTTCTGGTGGCCCGTCCTGACCTTTAAAGCCAGAGGGAATTAAACCCTCCTGTGTTTCACCAGGAAACTCTGATCTCATTAGGGGCAGTTGGGCAGCAGCTTGGAGCACAGCCTATGGGAGATGGGGATGGAAGAGTGGAGCACACATGCTGTGGGCTCTTTCTGATAAGAGCAAAAGGAGGGGAGGGAGAGGAGGGAGGGAAGGAGGGGAAAGGAGGGAGGGAAGGAGGGGAGAGGAGGGAGGGAAGGAGGGGAGAGGAGGGAAGGAGGGGAGAAGACGGAGGGAAGAGGAAGCAGGAGAGTTCAGGGACACAGTGGAGCTGGGCAGGGGGGCTGTAAGAGAACCGAGACTCATGGCTAGGCTCCTGGTTGGGCAGAGATCTGATTCTAGGCCTCACCTAAACAACTCAGTGATGCTGTCCTCTCCGTGTCTCAGTCTTGCCCAGAAGGACAAGCTAGGTGTCTACCAAGGAAGTCAGATCAACCAGCCAACCAACTATGGCCATCAGTGTAGCACAGTGGATTAAACTGCTGCCTAGAACACACTAGCATCCCACATGAGTGCAGGAATCCTGGCTAATCCACTGTCCATCTAGTTCCCTGCTAATGTGCCTGGGAAAATAATGGAGGATGCCTTAAACACTTGGGCCCCTACGTTCATGGGGAGACCTGGATGGAGTCCCAGGCTCCTGGCTTTGGTCTGGCCCAGCTCTGGCCACTGTGGCCATTTTGGGTGTGAACCAGCAAGTGGATAATCTCTCCCTCTCTTCCCCTGCCTCCCCACCACCCTGCTGTCCCACTCCCCCACTCCCCCACTCCCTGACTCCCCCACTCCCTCTCTCCCTTCCCTTATCTCTCTGTAACTCTGCTTTTCAATACATAAATCTTTCAAAACAGAATGCAACACCTTCTGAAGCCATGCTTTTTTAGACATTTCAGGGGAGGGAAGGGGACCTTAAAGGCAGATTTAAATATTAGAATCTTTCCTCTGGCTGTGACTCTTAAAACCCTGAATATCCAGATGCATCTTCAGCTGACACAAGTGCCTGATTCCCTGGGACTCCAGGCAGTCAGCTGACACCAAAAGAGAAGAGGCTCTGAGAGGGCCATCGGCCCTGGGCATCAATCAAAGTCAAAGTGTATGTAGGGGGTCTTGTCCCCAACTCTTGCAGGCTCTGATTCTCGGGGTCTCTCCCATACTCCTCTTCCCCATCACACTTGCCAATTCTGACTCTCCCACAAGCCACCTACCAGCCTCCAGGCCTGTCTGCCCTGCTCCCTGGCAATGGCGGCTTCTCAAGCACTGTTCTTGGAGTGCATTCTGTGTCTCCCCTCCTGGTTACAGAGTTTCAGCGAAGAACCAGACACAGTGCCTTCCCTGGGGAGCTAATAGGAAAACTAAGGAAGGACAATTCTCACTGAAGAATAAGTGGCCAAACACCGGATCACAGGCAAATCAAACCTCATAGCTACTGGCCCAGGTCCCCTAGATGGCCTATCCTTGCCATAAAATCAATGATATTTTTTTACACTGTGGCTACATATGTGAAAAATTTTCCCATGCCTATAAAAGGAAACAAGTTTGGGAGGCAGGTGCTTGATGTATTATTTGAGACTACATTTGGGGTGCTGGTTCAAGTCCTAGCTTCACACCCAACTCCAGCTTCCTATTAACATGCAACCTCTGAAGCAGCAGGTATAGTTCAAGTAGCTGGACCCCTGCCATTCATATGGGAGACATGGATTGAGTTCTGAGTCATGACTTCAGCCTGGTCCCAGTCCTGGCTATCGCAAGCATTTGCCTGCCTGCCTGTCACTTTAGTCCTTTCTAATAAAATAAAAATAAATTTTAAAGACTTATTTTTATTGGAAAGGCAGATCAGATTTATGGAGACAAGAAGAGATGGAGAGAAAGATCTTCTATACATTGATTCAGTCTCCAACAGGCCACAATGGCCAGAGCTGAGCCAATCTGAAGCCAGGAGCCAGGAGCTACCTCCAGGTCTCCCACATGGGTGCAGGGTCCCAAGGGCTTGGACCATCCTCTACTGCTTTCCCAAGTCATAATCAAGGAGCTGAATGGGAAGTGGAGCAGCTGGGACACAAACTGACACTCAAATGGATGCTGGGGCTTGCAAGGTGAGGATTTAGCCAGTGAGTCATCATGCCAAGCCTACAAATAAAATTTTTAACAAATTTAAAAGATTATTTACTTAATTTTTTTATTGGAAAGACCACTTCACAAAAGAAGGAGATATAGAAAACAGATCTTAACTTCAGCTGATTCACTCCCCAAGAGGCTGCAACGGCCAAAACTAAGCCAATTTGAAGCCAAGAGCTGAAGAATCTGAAGGTCTTCCATGCAGGTGCATGGTCCCAAGGCTTTGGGTCATCTTCTATTGCTTTCCCAGGCCACAAGCAGGGAGCTGGAGGGGAAGTGGAGTAGCCTGGATACAAACTGGTACCCATACAGGATCCCGGTGGATGCAAGAGGAAGGTTTAGCCACTAGGCTATTGTGCTGGGCCCCAAAAAATAAATAAATAAACTCAAGCTTGGGAAAGGTAGATTTTTTATCCCAGGACAGTTTAAGGTCAGAATGCTAAAATTAGAATCCTAGCTCAAGGGCTCATGCTATGGTGTAGCCAGTAAAGCTTCTGCCTGCAGCACCAGCATCCCATATAGTGTCAGTTTCCATCCTGGCTGCCCTACTTTCAATTCAACTGCTTGCTAAATTGCATGGAAAAAGCAGTGGGGAATGGCCCAAGTACCTGTGCCTTTGTCAACCAAGTAGGAGACTTGGAGGAAGCTTCCAGCTCCTGGCTTTTGCCTGGCCCAGCCCCCTGGCTGTCATAGCCATCCAGGAAGTGAACCAGAAGATAGAAGATCTCTGTTTTATCCTTCTGTCCCTGAAGCTCTAATTTTCAAATAAATAAGTCGAGCTTGAGAAAAATATAAAGGAATCCTAGCTCACTTTGTAGTTGTGTGATCCTAGGAAAACTTTGCTACTTCCTTGTAAAATGATGATGATGCAATGGTGCCTGCTTTGTAGGATGGACACGGGTCAGATATGGTGATGCAAGCAAAGTGCTCAGAGCGTGGCCTGGCCTCCTGCGGCTTCTCACAGCAACTACTCTTCTTCCTTAGCAGAGCTCTCCCGGAGCAGGGAAGTTTCATGGGGATACTGTAGTTACTAGCTGGTGCTTAGGAGCTTCACATCAGATACCAGAGCGCTAGCTGGAGTCCCGGCTGCTCTGCTTCCATTCAGCTCCCTGCTACTGTGCCTTAGATCAGCACAAGATGGCTCGAGTGCCTGAGTTCTTGTCACCTGCACTGGAGACTCAGCCGGAGCTCCGGGCTCTGGGCGTTGCTGTGGCCCAGCCCTAGCAGTTGCAAGCATCTGGGGAATGAATCAGCAGAAAGGTGCTCTCTGTTTCTCTATCCCCTTCTCGTTTTCTCTCTCTCTGGTTTTCAAATAAATAAATAAATAATAAATAAGTCTTTAAGAGAGAGGAAAAAAAAAGCACACGCAGTCTCCAGGATCAAGTCTGTGCTCTTTTTTTTTTTTTAAGTTTTATTTATTTTTATTGGAGAGGCAGATTTACAGAGAGAAGACACCGAAAGAAAGATCTTCTTTCCACTGGTTCACTCCCCAAGTGGCCACAATGGCCAGAGCTGAGCCAATCCAAAACCAGGAGCTTCTTCTGGGCATCCCACACGGGTGCAGGGTCCCAAAGCTTTGGGCCATCCTCAACTGTCCTCCCAGGCCACAAGCAGGGAACTGGATGGGAGGTGGAGCAGCCGGGATATGAACTGACACCCTTACCAGCTGCTGACACTTGCAGGTGACAGATTAACCAGTTGAGCTATTGTGCCAGTCCGAAGTCTGTGTTGTTTAATAAGACATCTGGAGTCCCCAGCATCTTGGTCTCGCTCACTTCTCCCTGTTGCTCAGCACACTTTGAGCATGGACAGTTAAAGTTACTGCCAGCCCCAGGGATGCTGCCTGCTCCCTCAGGCACTCCTACCCCCACCTCATACGTGCTGTGCCCTCTGGTCCTTCTCCAGTACTGAAGCCACAGGCTCAGTGCCCCCTCTT